AAGCCCCCTAAAGCAAATATGAAGCCAGCAGCTAGGTGGAATAAGGAATAGGAGAGAGAGCCTGCATTCCCTCAGGGATGCATTCAGCAGCTGGTGATTCTTTGACCTTTTTTTTTTTTTAATTTGGTGGCTCTATTACTACAGAATGCAGGGTTGTGATTACTCATGTCTTGGCCAAAGTCAGATATGCATGTAGCCAAACATTTTAGTACAAGACGGTGTCCTGCTTTCTAAGTTTTATTTTTAATTGCTACATGATAATTGTATATATTTATGGGGGAACAGTGTGATGTTTCTGTACATGTATACATTATATAATGATAATTAGCATATCCATCATCTTAAACTTTCACTATTTCAAAATCTTCTAACTGTTCTGAAATCTACACTATTGCTAACTATAGTCACCCTACTGTGCAATAGAAAATCAAAACTTATTGTTCTGATTTAACTGTATGTGCCATGTGAAAAGATTGATCTTATATAGAGAGAGACTAGAATATTGGTTACCAGAGGCTAGGAGGGGCAGGAGGGTGAGAGATGGGATTGGGAAAGGTTGGTCAACAGTTCTGCTTTTAAAATTGTGGAAGAGGGGTGTCCAAGTTCCTCGTGCTTTGCTTTCTGATTTCTCTTTCTGTGGCTCACTTGCCTTTGACACCTGAGTCTATGTATAATCAATTCCCATAGCAACCACTGCAGAAGCTAGGACAATGGAGAGCTCTCCTATCAGGAAGCCTTGCTTCCAGCAAACAAAACTGCCTAGAAACAACAGGTCCTCTTCTCAACACCTAAGTCCATCCACAAGCTACACTTAACTCTCTGCCCTCATTCCCCGCCTATCTCTAAAATCACCTTCTGTTGTACTTGGTGGTTCTGTCCCTAACACCCTGCACACACTGAAGTTGTTCCTATAACCTGTGCCGCTTTTTCCCTACTTCCACCTTCAGGATCCCCAGTGTCCTTTTCCACCAGCTAAATGACATCTCTTTTTAAAAGCCCTATTGTTTTTTTTTTTTTTTTCAGATTGTCTGCTAGTGTCCCTGTTTATCCACAATGCCTTAGCTCACCTCCCCAACCAGGCTGTATAAGAAGAGAAGGCATCTTAACTTACTGTGTCTGGCATCAGGCAACATTAGCACCAAAGCACCACTTAGGCACAGCATAAAAGATACTCACTGATTGCTAGGATCCATAGTGAGTTTCTTATGAACTCAGCAAATACAGTCCAGTACCTACCATCTGCTTAGCACTGTATCTCAAAAAGCTCTGTGCAAAACTAGTTCATCTGTAATGGCTCCTTTTTTCTCTAGGTAAGTGGCTCTAAGGCTACAGGCTGTGTTTCCAGAATCAGAAAACTAGGATTGCATGAGGGGGTTGTCTGTGCTTGTTTCATCAGGGCCATTTACATAACAACCCAGAATGTTTATCTATTCAAAAATACTTACAGGGCCTGGCGGTGGCTAAAGTCCTTGCCTTGAACGCGCCGGGATCCCATATGGGCGCCGGTTCTAATCCCAGCAGCTCCACTTCGCATCCACCTCCCTGCTTGTGGTGGTTCTAATCCTGGCAGCTCCACTTCCCATCCAGCTCCCTGCTTGTGGCCTGGGAAGGCAGTCGAGGATGGCCCAAGGCTTTGGGACCCTGCACCCACATGGGAGACCCGGAAGAAGTTCCTGGATCCTGGCTTCAGATCGGCATAGCATCAGCCGTTGCAGTCACTTGGGGAGTGAATCATTGGACGGAAGATCTTCCTCTCTGTCTCTCCTCCTCTCTGTATATCTGATTTTCCAATAAATAAATAAATATTAAAAAATAAACAAAAAACAAAAATACTTACAGAGGAGGTGAGCATTTTGACATAAAAGTTAATACACCATTTGACACATTCATATTCCATATCAGAGTACCTGGATCCATGTCTGGCCTCTGCTTCCAATCCCAGTTGCTTGCTAATGCACACCCTGGGAGGCAACAGATGATGGCTCAAGTGCTTGAGTCCTTGCCTCCCATATAGAAAACCTGAATTAAACTCCTGGTTCTAAGACATTTGGGGCATGAACCAGAGGATGTGTCTGTTTGCCTTTTGCCTTTCAAATAAAACAAAGAAATACTATTGCCAAGATCTAAGGAAACCAAGATTAATAAATAATAAATCATAGGGAATATTGAGTGACTCAAAGTTTAAGGAACGTCCTTAATAAGATAGCTTGAAAAGTGGTGATGTATGATTTTGAAAGGGGCTATCTGTATAGTACAGCTTGAGGAAAGGACCTGGAGACTCCAGGAAAAGACACCAATGGTCTGCCAACAGTGTGAGCTGCTCTATTAAAAGGAAAATGTCATCTGAAAGACAATGTATCTCAGAATTAGCTGGGCAGTGTTTCTGAAAGATCACTATCAAGATGCCATTTTCTGTCTCCCGGTAGACAAGCCTTCCCCCTCGCTAGTACACAGAACTTCTAATTCTGCTAATCAGGACTGAGTTCGAGGATCGGTACTTTTTAAAAAAGATTTATTTATTTCTATTGTAAAGTCAGATATACAGAGAGGAGGAGAGACAGAGGAAGATCTTCCATCCAAAGATTCACTTCCCAAGTGGTCATGATGCAGGAACCGAGCCGATCCAAAGTCAGGAGCCAGGAGCCTCTTCCACGTTTCCCACATGGGTGCAGGGTCCCAAGGCTTTGGGCCATCCTCATCCTCAACTGCTTTCCCAGACACAGGAAGCAGGGCCACCAGGACATGAACTGGAATCCATATGGGATCCTGGCACATGTAACGCGAGGACTTTAGCCACTAGGCTACTGCACCGGGCCCCAGAGATAGGTAATTTTAAGAGCTTCCCAGGTGACTCTATTATACAACCAGGATTTGGAGCCATTACCATCCTATGGTATACAGGAATCCATAATACAGTGTAATCAGTCATGGGATGTAAAAGCTGGAAAGAACCTTAGAGATTATCTGGTTCAGTGTTGCCTAAATTCTAGTGACTATTAGAATTACCTGTGGACCTTATCACATGCACAAATTGATGGGTCATAACCTGAACCTTATGGGAAGTTGTCTCATGGAAGTGGCAACCAAGTTTCAACATGATGAAAATTTATTAAGGAATGAAGTCTCCTTGCACCCAATACCAAGTAATGGCTTGAGGCCATGTTATGATTTCCTGAGACGCAGAGAATATAATGTTGAACACATGTTAGGTATATTCAAGAACCTTGCAGAACTTGAGAGAGAAAATTCTTTCTATGGCAGTTTGTTTTTTATGGCAGTTAGGTTCTACAAAGTCACTCTGGACACTGAACTTGTGAATACTGAACTGTTGGTCCAATATGTCACATAGATTATCATCTTAAATCCTAAAAATAGTTCATCCATGTTGAATCTATTTTCTTTCTTTCACAAGGATAAAACCAAGTTCACAAATACTAAGTAACTTGCCTGGCTCCATCTCACACACAGGTGCCATACTTGAATCCAAATCCTAACCAACTGATTCATGAGATGAAGCTTATTGCCCTCCCCTGCTTTGTCTCCTACAGCTTTTCTATCAAAATAAACGTATCTTGGAATCTCATTTTTCCAACATTTGGAAATTATGATATACTACAAGTGATATTGAGGACAGAAGTCTGCAGGGTGCTAAGACCTAAGATATGTGCAAGGAAAAGCAGTCTGGCTACAATGAAGGGACCAAAGGATGAGGCATATGGAGACATCAGATCTGGAGGGTAAGGGAGTGGTAGAAGCCCTGGGGTAGGTATGCATGGGGAAAACGAGGCAGGTTGCTAGCCTCTGCACTCTGCACATATATTTGGCCATTCGAGTTTGGTTTAGATCACCCTGATGGCTGGAAGCTGGGTTTATTAGGCCCTACTCCGTGCCAGGTGCTCTTCCAGGTTCTGGGTCTGGAGCAGCAAGAGTTTTCATTGTTACGGAGCTGACATTCAAAGCAGGATAGACAATAAGCACATGGATATAATATTCCATGGTAATATTAAATGGTAAGCCACACTGGAAAACAGTCTAACACTTTCTTCATAAACTAAACATATTCCTACTATGTTACATAGTAATACGTATTTATTCTAGAAAAGTGAAAACCTATGCTCCCAGCAAACCTGCAAATGAATGGTTAGAGCAGCCTCACTTGTCAGAACCAAGAACCAGTTGTCAGGATCAAACAACTGTGATGCCCTTCAACAGATGGATCATTAAACGAACAGGTACATCCACACCTCAAAGTACCATGGAGTACTACCAAGTGATAAAAAATAGACTACTGACACATACAAGTTGGGTAAATCTGCAATGTACTATGTTAAGTGAAAAAAGCCAATTTCCAAAGGCAATACACTGTATTTTCCCATTTGCATAATACTCTTAAAATGGTAACATAGAAAAGGAGAACAGATTAGTGTTTTACAAGGTTGTGGTGGGTAGAAGGAACTAGGTGTGGCTATAAAAGGGCAACATTAGGCAATCTTTTGGTGTGGACTTGTTCAATATCTTGACTGTGATGGTGGATACATGAACCCTCCCAAGTGATGAATCCATATCGAACTACATGCACATAGTGTATCAATATTGATTTTTTGGCCTTGATACTGCACTGCAGTTGTGCAAGACGTTAACATTGGGAAAAAGAGGATAAAGAGTGCTTGAGCTATCTTAGCACTAACCGATGGCCTTGACCTAGCTGTTGTAGCCATTTGGACAGCGAATCAGCAGATGGGATATATTTTTATCTCTTCTCTCTGTGTGTCACTCTGCCTTTCAAATAAATAAAATAAATATTTCAAAAAAATCCTCAGCCTTGGACGTGGAACTAGACTCAATGTTCAGAAAGTGTTGAATCTACTCCCAAATCCTTGGTTCACATGTTGATCCTAGTCACTATGCCTGCCTGCCCCCACCAGTCCCCCCACTTTAACTTCCCAATATGGCATCATCTCCTCTCAGGATGATGGGTCGATGCAAAGAATCTCACTTACCTGATGAGTGTGCAGAACTGTAAGAACGATGAATTCTTTAGCTCTCCTATAGAGAAAAGAGGGAACAGGAGAGTAGAGTATCGAGCTTGAAGTATTTATGTAGTACAAGAAGCAACACCAAAATTCCCCCCTGGGCTGCATTCAGGAATATGGGTTAGGACAGTAACCGCCTAAATGCCTTGGTTCCCATCATTTGCAGAGGCCAACACAAACCATCCATGTTGGTTCACATAGGCAGCTGATGAAGGTGTTATCGTTACCTCCGGATTCTCCTTTTTCAGGTCTTCTTTTTATAGTTCCTTCTCGCAATCTCTCTGTAGAAATCCCCAAACCTTAGAAGTAGTTTTATCTGGAAACTAAAAAAATTCTCAAGGAAAACCAATAGCCTGAATTATGGAACTCAAAGGACACACCGAATCTTGGGAACCATATGAGGTGATTATTTGCAGTTTGGTCTTTAGGCAAGAGAAGAAATCAAAGGGAAAACTCAAAGGTCTTTGGTCATCATGACTAATTCTCTGTAGATTTGTTTTAATTGAGGGACCAATAATAAGAGCCATGGAGCAGCACATGGAAGCCAAGCTCTCTAGATAGCAAATGTTCAAAAGGATAAAGAATTTGAAACTCTTTTGACAAGAATTATGCCAGTGATCAAAGAGGCTGTGAGGTATGAAAATTCTCTTGCAGGAATACGCAATCCTTTAAAGAGAACTGAAAGAACTGGAAATAATTTGCTTTCCCTTCCCCTTGTTGGCCTTTTTCAAAAGCTCACAGGAACAAAGTCACTCAAGAGGTGGAGTGAAGATTCCCCTGGTTCCTGGTATTCAAGCAATGCTAAGGCCTCCTCCTGAAGGACTTTGAGCATGTTCCATATGTGGTGACGCCACGTCTGAGGGTCAATCAGCTCTGAAGTCTGAGAAGTTCCCAGGAGAGAATAGCTATGTTCCAGGGAAAATACTAATGAAACTTCTTTACTTGAACTTGGAAGGAGCATAACGTGATTTGGATTATGTGGCTCATCTTCTGCCCGTGCCATGGCTTCCTATGTCATTTAGAAGGATGACAACATCTTAACAATGGCTTACAAAGCTCTGTGTAATCTGGAGGTGTTTTTCCATGAGTATCCCCTTCCTGACTCAACTCTGGTCACATTGGCTTCTCCCCTGGAGACATGGTTTCCCTGTTCCCAGCAGAAACTCTGCTGCCTTTGGGGGCTTTGTGCTAGCTCTTCTCTCTTTCTCCAGCTCATCATCTCATTCAAGCCTTTGGTTTTTCTTCAAATAGCACCTTCTCAATGAGGTCATCACTGACCATGTTGCTTGAAGTTACATTACGTACTCCTTGTGCTTAGCATTGCTGATCCTCTTTACTCAAATCTACTTTCTGTTCTTCAATACTATGTGTGAACTTCTAAAACGAGGTAAAGTTACTTATTTAGCATGTTTACTGCTTATGGCATATCTCCTTTCACTGGAACATAAGAGCCACTGTGCTTAGGATTTTTGTCTATCTTACTCACTGCTATATCTACAGTGCTTAGAATGGTGTCTGGCACATAGTAAGTACCCAATAATATATATTCATTGAATGAATGAATGAATGACCCACGGGCATTATGTGCTCTGTTTTGACCTTGAAGGTGCTCTGGATTCCCTCACAAAATCAGGCTACCGTGTGCTCAAGCACAAAAATATCTTCTAGAAGCAACAGTAATTTCTTAGGGGTCAGGCTAAAATAACCCCAACATGATCTGATGCAAATGGAAGAACTCATTTCATATTGATATGGTAGTGGAAGGTGAAGGGTGAAAGGTAGAGGGCAGAGGATATGGGATTTTGGAGTTCATTACTGAACTTGGAGTACAGATAAACCACATGTCATCAGGGACCAGATGTATTTCAAGGTAGGGAGCTTGGGAGGGAATATGTCAAGGAAGATCTCAGGACTTCAGTGTCAGTGGGTATGGAGGTAGACAGGCAGGAGGGGAAACATTGCAAAACTCTCCCAAGCTAGTAAGAATGTCAGAAGGAAAAGTCTGCTTTTGAAGGTCAGGCAGGAGGCTCTGGGATGCTGTGGGCTTTGAAAAGCCCTAGAAAGATGAGTGGGAAGAAAACACTGTGAATTAAGAGGGTAAGGAACAAATATAGGAAGAGTTGCAACCAGACTACACAAGAGAGGACATGAGCGGACATGAACACATTCCATTTGGAGGTAGACATAAAAGGTCCCTGAAGCAACGTAAGCCATGGAAATTAGGGCCTTTGCCTCTATCTTCTCATTTCTTAGCAACAAAATCCGTGTAGGCCATGTGCATGTGGCAGGGGGAAATGCGGGATAGGGAACTTTGTATGATATGTAGTGTATGCAGACGTGACGTGTGTAGGGGTAAGGGGTAAGCCAAGACAATGTGAATACTCCCCACCTACAGATGGTGGTGGATGGCAGTGATCCCTGTAACACTCCCCACCCTCTCACCTGGTCCCACTCAGGAGATTATTAAGGACCACAAACACTGTGAGCAGAATCCAAAACAGTAAGGTGCCTCCTGAATCCACTGGCTAGGAATTCTGCTTTTCCGCGTGTGTGTGCACGCGCGCATGTGTGCACGTGTGCACGTTGTTTGGACAATGAGTCGAGGGAGGTGAGCACAGTATCTTGCTTGTACTTTGCTTATCACAGAATGTTCTTTTAATGGCTTGTTCGATTCTTACCAATCACTTGGTTGGATACACTGCACAGTCACTCAAAGCCAGGGAACCTGGGTGAGGAAATGAGCTGGGAGAAGGGAGGTAGAGATGAGGCTCTAGCAGAAAGCTCTTTCTTTGTGTCTATTCACATCACTGCAGAATGCTAGGCCTGAGTGCATGGGGCCCCTCAAGTTCTGGGTAGTCAAGAGCCTTGGCTAGGGCTGCTCTGTATCAAAGGGCTCCCGTCTTGGGGTCAGGGAGGACAGCGTAGCCCTCTGTCACTGCTGGGACAAGGGTGACACCACTGCTCAGCTCCTGTCAAGGCCCAAGAGGCCCCTGTTACCTGATGAGTTCTATGAACCTCTCCCTGGGGGCTTCACTCACGTCCTCCTCATTAATAGCCACAATCTGGTCACCAGCCAGGAGCTTGTCCTCAGAGGGGCCTCCTGCAGAGGAGAGGAGAGAGGTGTGAGGACTTGGAGCTATTGCTGCAAGCCAAAAGTCTGGGCAAGAGTGGAGGGACGCAGGCTGAGTAGGGGTGCGGCAGGGGGTTACCCAAGCCCTGCAGCTGCTCCTGTGACAAATGGAGGGCAGGGGAATGAAGAAAGAGGATGGAGCAGACCATCTTTAGGTGGGAGTAGGGAAGTAGCAAAAGGTCCTAAGCCCAGGCCTCATCCTCAGATGAGGTATGTAAGTGCTTTGCAGATTTGGGTCTCAAGATGAATATATGCTTCCATCTCATGAGAGGATTGTTTAAGTTTAGGTAAAGATTTTCAGATGGCTGAAGGCAATACCAGTGACCAGAGAAACCTGCTGGTAGGGTTATCATCTTACTTGAATATAATTCATACTTACTGGTCTGGAATACTGTTGAAGATGGGTATGTACTTCAAAGAGTTAAAGGGTTTCAGGTTTTATTTTTCTTAACCCTGAGAGGATCTCTCTAATAAAAGAGGAGAACAGGTGCATCCACTTGGGCACCCAGAATTTCTTTTTTCTCTTTCCCACCTCTACGGCTGAGGGTAAGCAAGCAGATGTCTGAGGACCATCCCTTCTAGGTTGGGATGAAGGGCTGGGGTATAGGAGTGCCACAAAGCTGTGCTGTCGTTGATGGTTGGCAAAGATCTTCTTGGTGAAAGCTGTCCAAAGACTCTGAGAGAATGACAAGTCAGATACGATCTGACTCAAATGCGACAGCAATATTTAATGACATGTCCCACTCTCAAATCAGCCTTGTCTGTTGTTTGTGTCCACTTGAAAGGACCAGATCCCAGCTGCTCACTTTCTCTAATGAAGTGTGTTGTTCCAATTACAAAAAACATGAACATACACAGCAAATATGTTACTTGAGCCCAGCCCACTGGCTTTGGAACCTGGGGTCTGCATTCTGAAATTTGCTATGCCAGCACAGACAGCAGGATTCACCACTTGAGCAAAATGGCCCTAAACCTACCAGACCCAGTCTCCCAACTGTGCTTCCACTGAAGAATATGCACTTTGCAATCAATCAGACCCAGGGGTTCAATCCCGAATCTACAGTTTACTAGATCTTGGGTCTGTGGTCTTACATGAGACACTTGATCACTCTGAGTCTGCCTTATCTCATCTGATCTGTAAAATGGAAAAATAATAGTATCAACACATCATAAGAATGGTGGGAGGATAAATAAGATGATGAATTACAGTACTTAAAGCAAGTGATTAATGTTGGCAAGAATTTGATAAATAGTATTTCTATCCTCCACAGGACAATTTCTTCAATTCATTGCCTGCTTTGTATCTACCTCCTCTGAAACTGTCAATCTCTTTCATGGAGTCCTATCTATCTATCTATCTATCTCTCTATCTATCTATCTCCCTCTCTTCCTCCTTTCTTCCCAAAACTCATTTTTCCTTCCTCATGGAACTCAATCTCCTTCATGAGCCTTCACCTTTTTCCAGCATCGCTAACATCAATCTATTACTGCTTTCACAAATGGTCTGTTGGCTTGCTCAACCATAAAACTGTTCTGTAGGATCCTCGTCTTTCCTAACATCATTAAACATGGAACCAACGAAGTCCTCTGCGACATTTAAGAGCCACCTGGGCCAGCAGCAGCAAGGTGAATCAGCATCACTCCTTGGTAGGGCTGTGTCTGCCAGCCCCATGGCTTCCTGTGGTATTTGACTGGGGTGTTTGATTTCACCCGTCCAACTCTTTCCTCTTCATTCCTGCCTTATACCTTTTGTAGCTGACCTCCCTCTAGGCCTGGGGGCTTTCCATTTGCTTTAAAATTGACGCAGGGGCTCCTGGTGGTCTGCAACTACGATTTATCTCATCCTTCTTTCCCAGGACAAATTTGATTTCTGATCTGAAACTCAAACTGCATGACTGAATCAGGAGCCTTAGGTCAGCCATGGACTCCTGTACTGAACTGCTTTTGGTTTTGTCTTTTTTTCCCCTCTGTGCCCTCTAGTTGAAGAGAGAGCTTAAAAAAATCTTTTTCTTTTCCTTTGAGGATTGCAAAATTTATCAAATTTCTGTAAGACCAGTTTATACCCCGGCTGCTCCTCTTGACTGAGCGAGAAACTGTTGTAAACATCTAAAGCCTCAGGCCCAGCAAGTTAAGAATAAAGCTCCTTTCCTTGTGTCTTCTCTGTCAATGACTAGATGATTCGGAACAGAACAGTGATTCTTTTTTTTGCCCTTTCTCATTTCATTCATGATGGCAGCATTTCACAATTTAGGGAGAGCTTAATGCTTAATCTATCCCATATGGTCCCTCCCATTAAAACCCCACTTATTCCCGGTGGGGTCAACAGGCCAAAGGGCAAACCATGACTCTGTTGCCTCTTAACTGAGTGACCCTGGACAAGTGCATTCTCTTCTTCTATGCCTTAATTCCCTCATTTGTGAAATGGGAATGGTATTACTTACCTGGTAGGCTTGACTGCGAGGATTAAAGTTGACAATGCAAAGTGCGTAGGAGACGGACATAGTATGCTCCAGTCTCCACAGCCTGATGGTTAGATTCGTGAGGACAAGAATTGTGTCTTATGCTTCTCTACAATGTTGCTGCAGCTTAGGGTAGGCAATCTATAAATACTTGTTGAATTGAACTGAATATGTACTTTCTCATCCAAGGTATTGGAGCTCTTCTATTAATTTTCAGAGCAAAAGGAAGCTTTGTTAAGACCAGACTGTTAAATGATCAACCACTGCCTCTGTCTAGGGCCCTAAAGCTGCCTCACTTGTTTGCCTCTATCATTTTTAAAATGCTAGCTTCCACACACAGTGATTAGTTGGCAAGTCTTCACCCACTCTTCCTGAACTCTTAGCAACGCAGTACAGTTGTAAGCTTCTCTTTGGGAAGATATGTGGGTATCAGGAGATAGGAGCCAAGGCTGAGGGGATGCTGTGAGGGACACCTACCTGGCCTCACAGATCGAACCACCACAGGCCTCTCACTGCCAGCCACGAAGCCAAAGCCATATATAGGGTCTCGGTGAATGGTCACTTGTCGTAGCGTCTCTGCTGGCAGTTGCTCACTTTCCATATCATTTGCGCTCTCTTCCTGCATCACATGACTGGGGGAAGGGGAAGGTGGGAGCAAAACAAGATGCAAAGGGAGCTAAGCCTCAGACCCAGTTGGAGGAACATCTCTTAAGTGTTCTGACTATGGCACCTGGGGATTCACAGCTTAGCTTTCCTACATCCTCTGCTGCTGTTGGGGGTAATTATTGCCTCATGTTTCAAAATCGAGGAAAAGGAATCCAAAAAGAAAAATCCACTTGTCTTCAGGGCTAAAGTGAGCAGAAGAAACTGGTGCCATGATATCTGGTATTAGAGTCAGACCCTCTTTGTCCATGATATCTGGACTCCAGGGGGAGACTAAATGAAACATGTTATTCGGAAGTTAACTAGTACCACTCAATTGGCTACCAAGTCACTAAGGGAGACCAACATCTTGAGGGAACAGACCATGAAACAGGCAAATAAGTGGGAGAGGAATGTGAAGTTTTTCCAGCATGGGGAGCATCTTTATGAAGTTCTTGTGCAATCTTTACTGTCTTGTAAGTGATATATAAAGGTGAACTATTTAGGTGGCACATAAAAACAAATGTGCTAATGTTTGGGACCATTACCTCACAGAAATGTACTTAATGCCAACTTATTTCACCTAATGGGACACTTGGGAAATGGCTCCTATGGGCCAGAAATGGAGGTGCATTTGCAGGCCTGACAGCCAGAGGAGTTGGGAGAAGAGAAATTGCGCCTCTAACACCTGGGAGAGATTACGGATTGTTCTCCTGATGTTCACAACTTAAGTTACTGAAGCTTAGAAATTATCTAAGAGCTTTCCAAGGATGTTTCATGAAGGCAAACATCCTAAGGCAAGCATAGGCCTTAGTATAATATTCAAGTGAGATGTCCTGAATGGTGAGGATGTAGGAGCAAAAGGGACCAAGCGTACGGAAGGTCAAAAGGCGAATGGATGCCAGATGGTGAAAGAGAGTGGTTTAGGGTCTCAGATCCTTGACTTGGCCCTACGACATCTCCAGGCCTCCTTGGCAGGCTTATGTTCTCTCGTGTGAGTATATGTTGTGTTTAAAATTAAAGTTCCAGACAAGACTTTCAAAACAAAATAGAGACAGCCAGGATCTGATGAATCAAACTAGTATAAAATTTGAAAAAAGAAGTGGGAGGTTTTGATACTATGAGAGTGATGCAACTTGTGTCTAGCTATGACTACTAAACTGGTCGGCAGCAAAAGATTTTAGGCAGTTGGGTTGTTCATCAAGACCCAAATTCAGCAGAGACGAGCTTTAGGACTATTTAGTGGGAGGAAGGAATATCTAGTCCAACAAAAAAAGGCCAGAATTGTCTCTGTCATATATGAAAAGGAATTGGGAAGTAAGGCAGAGCACAGTTATAGACTGTAATCCAGCCGCTTCCACTCTGGCCACACCTAAGCTGGTGTGAAGTCTACCTAAGACCCCTTATGGTGGCTACAAATGGATGGCAGAGTGAGGTCAAAGCTTTGTAGGCAAATTTGGAAAGTGGCTCCTTGCTTCTGCTCCCAGTGCTGGGAAAGGAACCACAGAATATCTTCCCAGAGCTATCATCTTGCCTCACAGACGAGGCTGCTTTGGAAATGAGTCCTTTGCATCCTGCCATCCGATCCCCTTTTGATTTCATTTGCACTGGAAGGGCCTCTGCCTGGGATGATACCAGCTCATTTTGGACATGGGCAGCAGCAAAGGCAGCTTAACAATGACGGTCATCTAGATGCTTGGCCTGTGGCATGGGAAGCAGAAGGACATCAAGGAAGATGCAGGTATGTGCCACTGATTTGTCTCTTTTTTTCTTGTTCTGGGGCTAAGCACCCATCTGCCTCCCATGGACCTTAAGTTATTACCAGAATTGGGGGAAATCGACATTCCTCACGACACAGAAATCAACGAACCAAGAGTTTATGCGACATAAATATTTTGCCTTATTCTTTTGAGTCTTGTTGATCAATCAACAAGTATTTATTCACACCTGTAGTTAGTCTAGAGCTCTGGGGGTGGGGGCGAACCTAAGTCACAGATGCCTATCCTGGAAGAACTTGCAGTCTAGCTGGAGAAGGAAAGGCAAGTGTGCTCTGCACAGGAGAGAGTGCTAACAGAGACCAGTAGACAAAGTGTGAGAGTGCCAACTTGCTTGTCCAAGGAAGTAGATGGCACAGCAGGAGAAGGCTCAATGGAGCAAGTGGGGATTGTTTGCTTGCCGAAGAAAAGGCAGGTTTATGGAGAGCGGACAATAGTGGAAGCTCTGTCTATAGTCTGGCTCCAACTTCTCCAGGGGACCCGGATGGTTCTTTTATGACCACAAGTGTGTCTCCCTGGGCTGTCCCTAGCTGGGCAGGAGTAACCACCCCTAACTGGATCCTCTCTCAGTTCTACTGACAGCCCTTTCCTCAGGCTGCTTCAGCCTTCCCAAGGCATCTTGCGATAGGGGAGAAACACCTCCCTTAGCCTACCAGAGACCGTTTTACAATTCAAATGCAAGTTGTCTCTTCCCTCCTGGGGTTTGCTTCTTTCAGAGTCTCCAGCTAGGTCCCTCTGAAATTTGCTAAGTGCCTGGAGACTTGGGAGTGACACTGAAGGGAAGCAGTGATGGATGACAGGAGCTCAGCTATCCATGGGTCATGTGATGGCCCTCCTGGGGAAAATAGGCAATTTGACTTTGAAAGATGTTTGGCTTCTGGTCCCTTCAAATAAGGCAACCCTGAACATAATTATGAAGCTGCTCAAGCTTATGCTCCTCCCCACCCCTCCAGCTTCGTCTTAGGAACCTGCTGTTTTTCTTCTCTAGTTTGCCCTAAAGCATAGAATGCCTTTACTCTACCCCTTCCTATTCGAAGTCCTGAAGGGTGTCCCCTCCTTCTGCACCATGCTTGCCCTCTGCATTCAGTGACCCACAAAAAGGCTTAGTCTTTCTCTTCAGTCTAATGATAAGGACACTTTAGATCTCTGTGGTTCTTTTCATTTTTATACCCATTACCTCATTTGAGAAAAGGTACTTTCACATCCATTATTTCTTCATAGACTCTAACTGTCCTGCCAAGTATGCTAGATAGCTGCTCCTCCTCCATCCCAGCCTCAAAGGCCGGATCAGCAGAAGTAGAAATTTGCACAGAGGCAAAGCACACCAGTGGTCCATCTGGAGACAAATCTCTCAGGGCTACAATCTAAGCATTTCCTATGTGCACTTTCTCAAGGTTCCAGACCGTCTAGCTATCCAAAGTCTCCACTACAGGACTGTCCCAACCCTACAGCCAGCCGCACTCCTCGTCCTGGCCTGTCCTGACCTGGCCTGGATCCTCAGCCCACATCATAATTAACCTGTCTCTGATCCCATTCGCTCCACGTTGTTGGAAGAATGAAATGAGATCATAGCTGCAGGAGTACTTAGGAAGGTTAAATGTATCCCGCAAATGCAGAAAGAGGTGGTCTGATTACTGGGAGCACTATTGAGCGTAGCCAGAGAAAAAAAAGCAAAGGAGCCAAAGATGTATTTGGCTCACTTCACACAGCCCAAACCCTGCCCCATCAATTTCTTGCCTGTAAGAGATAACCTCATAATATTCTCTGCAACCTCTATTTCCAGGCTCTTCTCTCCCTCTTCCAACTATCAGACAATGTGAATCCCCCCTAACCTCTCTTTAGGCTAAACTGATCCTTCTCATCACTGTTCAAAGAAGAATTGGTAGCTTGAGTTCATGTCAACAACTATTGGTAGGCAGGACATGGCTAAAACACACAGGAACTGAAAAGCAGGTGGAATGGCTGTGAATTACTGTTTTCCTCCCCTATCCTTCTCAGAGCTGCATTTTCAGGCATCAGCTTTCAGTTCTGCATCCTTCCTTGCCGTTGGCTTCCTCTTCTTTACAATTATTTGGTTGGCTCTTTGGGGTGTCTTGTCATTTCTCTCACAACTGGCAGGATTTGGAGCCATGTAGAGCCAATTAACATTCTGGTTCCAGTAACAGGAATCTGACTCTTTCAGAAATTCCAGAGATCCAATATGGTGGGCTAGCACCATGGGATGCCATGTTCTCCTGGTGGCAGGGATGGGAACCCCGTTTTGGGCCTTTGAAGTAGATGAGATGGGTGCCCTCTTGTGAGGAGTTGGGGTATAGGCTACTAAGGGTAAAGGACTGTAGTGGCTGCTACTTGCATTACTTGTTTCTTTCTCCAGCAGTGTTGATCCAACTAGAGTGTGCATACAAAACACCTGTGGTACTGCTAAAATGATTTGGATGCAGTAAGTCTGGAGCAAGGTCAGAGTATCTAACACCTCTCGGGTTGGTACCCATGCTGAAGGCCCACAGAACCCACTCTGAGAAAAAGGGAGCTGAAAGAACACTCTTCTCGGATCACGGGAAAGCCACAGGCAGGTGGGAGGACTGGGGTACTTTTATTCCATTAGATTATGGCACTGAAGGCCCCAGCTGAAACATAAATGTTACCTTTTGTGGACCCATAAATTCACGCAGAGAATTTGCTGGCTGAATAGGATTTATCTCAAGAGAGAAATAGGAAGGGCTCTGAATGGATATGAAATAAGACAGGGAAGGCTGTACTAGGGAAGGGGAGAGAAAAGATGTGGAAGATGGGGTACTGTTTAGCTCTACAAAAGAGCTGGGTCAAAGGACTTTCAGAGTATTAGTGGCATTTGGACATAAGGCAAGGAGACACAGGCAGAAAAGGCAGTATGGGCAGCAGTAGTATCAGCTGTGACTGACAGAAGACTTACTGTGTTCCACATGCATCCTGTGTGTTACCTCAGCCAGCCTCCCAAGCACCACATCAGCTAGGGAGCATTGTGGCCATTTTACACACAAGGAAACAGGTTTGGGAGGAGAGATTAAGCATGTCTCTGTAGAGTATTCACCTGTAAGCACTGTGTGGAACCATATGAGAACCTCAATCTGCCTAAGAGTACAGCCAGCTATCTTCCACAATGTTTGCCAAGAACCTGTAGACAAAGCAATTTCCCAGAAGACAATAGGGCCAGCCATGAGGGAAACTTTAA